ATGGACCGCCATTCAGCAGGTCGGTTACTTCGATGAGGACGGATACGAGAAGTTCTGGTCCGAGTCTCACGTGTCTGAGGACTTCGACATGTCTCTCCGTCTCCAGTGCAACGGCTACATCATCCGCTTAGCTGCTTGGGCCGGCGAAGGTTTCAAGGAGGGTGTCTCTCTCACTGTGTACGACGAGCTGGCGCGTTGGGAGAAGTATGCTTACGGCTGCAACGAGCTGCTCTTCCACCCCATCCGCACCTGGCTCTGGAGAGGCCCCTTCACCCCGCTGTTCCGCAAGTTCCTGTTCAGCAACATCCGTTTTACTTCCAAGATCACCGTCGTCTCGTACATTGGCACGTACTATGCCATTGGCGCCGCCTGGATCATGACTTCAGTCAACTACTTCCTCATGGGTTGGTACAACGGATACCTTGACAAGTACTACGTCGACTCTTGGCAGGTGTGGTTCTCCATCATCATCGTGTTCAACGGCCTTGGTAACGTCGCTCTTGCTGTGATGCGCTATCGTGTCGGCGAGAAGGGCTTGCTCTGGGCCTTCTTCGAGAACATCAAGTGGACTTTCCTGCTTGCCATCTTCCTCGGTGGTCTTAGCTTGCACGTCAGCCAGGCCCTGTTGGCTCACATGTTCGAGATTGACATGACTTGGGGAGCGACGTCTAAGGAGGCCGAGTTCTCCAACTTCTTCATTGAGGTTCCCAAGGTTTTGAAGAAGGTGAGTTCTTTTAATCAGCTCCCCCCTCAGCTTCGTCAGCTTTTGGTGGCGGTGCCCCCACATTCCTGTGGCCACCCTCGCCAATCGCGACGCGCTCGCAGCGCCATGCTGCGTGTTGTCCGTCTCATTCGAGCAATTGCTGACATTATTTTTCAATAGTTCAAATTCTCCATGCTCTTCTCGTGCATTTTTATCGCCGGAATGATTATCCTGGCGGTTGCGCCTTTCGTCCCTTACGACTGGCGCATCACCGACTTCGTCGCCATCCTCCCGATGGCCACCGTTTCTGCCAGTCATCTCCTCCTGCCCATTGCCCTCAACCCCGCTCTCATGACCTTCTCGTGGTAATTGATTTATCACGGAAATCTGTTTGCGCATAGTTTCTATTTTGCATGGGCCCTACGCGGCGGTCGATATATGTACAGTCCCAACAGCGGGCATTGAGGAGTTTTCCACATCGGTATAGACATTGGATGGAGTTGCAACAGGATTGATACCTAGACTTACAGCTTGAGCACATCATGACATGATCAGTGGGGCTCTTGTTTCTTTCTCAAACTGGATATGACGCAAATATTTCTCTACTTATATTTAAAGCTTAATCTCTTTTATGACGAGTACGGAGGCTGCCAAAGCCACCAGGGGAACAGGAATCAGACGACGGGACAGGGAATGGACTGGATGACGGTTACCATAGGCCGCCCTGATGATGGGAATTCGTTCTTTCGCACAACATAGACAAAATTACCACCCATCAAATTCGCTTCTTCCATTTGACGTGACCAGCCTCCTGCGTGGTGAGCCACGTACTCAAGTGGTGACCTCACTGTCGGTGGTCCCTTGACTATGGCAGTGCCATAATTCCATGCATCCATCGTATCTCGATGTTGGTTTGCAAGTAAAGGTTCCATATTTCACTCAGCTGATCACCTGCACAAATAAGACTTTGCTCCATCCTTGACTATTCAATCTTGAGTGGTCATGAAAGCGATGAAGCTATTTTGGTCGTTAGTCAGACAGGCTCCTGCCGATAGCGTCTTGCATGAATATCTCCAACTCTGTTCTGCATCTCTGCTTTCGACCTAGTATTTTTTTGATCAATACCCATCAGTCCAATCCGGCGCCCCTTATCCTATTCTGTCGTCTCGTCTCTCACACGCAGTCTGTCTCCAGCGAAGGTCTCCTGTTGTCAGTCAGAAGCACTCCGAGAGGCCAACCTACATCAAGCACGATGATTTTATTCGGGAAAAGATGTACTAGAGGAAGCGCCAAGAGAGACATTCATCTTAATCCTCTCCATCATCCGTCATTCTAGGAGTATACTGTCGAATAATATCGTAAACCTCGAGTAGATACTTCGCCCTCGCGGGTTCGGTTGACACCTACCTTGCGGTCTGTGATGATCTTTCAATCGGCTGCAAAGGTGGACTTCTTCGATTGGTCCTGTCCATTCCTGCAAGGGATTGGGGATCTAGACTATAAGTCCGCCAGTGGCGGCATATTCTGCGGTCTACGCAACTGTGAACATCTCGTTTCATATAGAAAAGCCCTTTGAAAAACGTTTCTTGAAAAGTCAATAGCCCGTTGACGAAGGTGAAGGAAGGTCTTGCCTGGATTTAGCTTCCAGATTTGGATTGGTGGGGTCTTGCTACCAATCGCGATTTCGTGTGGAGGATCTGAGGTGGTGTCTTTTCCGTTAAGAAGCACCAATCTATAGTTCTCTATCATTGCTAATTTCTCCTATCTTCTGGTCTTCTTCAGGTATTCCTGTGAATAGCCATCTTGAGTATCTTCTTCTGAGCCTGACGATGTGAGAATTGTGTTCATCAGATACTGAACGCCTGATCGACTCTGAAAGCTCCGAGCAAGCCGCTACCGGAACCAAAGAACATCTGTCCTTCTGCTAAAGTCTGTATAGGAATACGAGTCTGATCTTCATAAGAAGATCTGATCCCTGCTTGGAAGATGGCTGAGTATGACGATGCTCTTGAGCTGCCGCTGCGTTGTCTCTTCACGATCTTTTCGTTTGGGACTACCGAGAAAGTTATGACTATACCTTCCTCCGCCTGCAATGTCCTTGAATCTCCTCTCTAATTTGCCGCAAAGATCAACGCTGTTCGCGCTTTGAGTACAGCGAGGCTTCATCTTGGGCGGAGCCGAAGGATCCTCTTTACACTTCCTGGGACATCTGTCATAAAGGTAAGGGTGCTATTATAGTCTGTTTATCCAAGTAGAATACGCGAGCAGTGATCAATCTGTGCCGCTCATAGGGAGTTTTGGGGGCACTTCCGACGCGAGAATGGAGTCCAAGACCTCTGAAATACTTTACTGCCATGTTTGTCATGCTGAGAGCGCAATGCCCCTTTCTGACGATATGATCTGTACTTTTTTGAATCGTATTACTGAAGTCAGTCTTTTCTTGTATGCCCATTTGCTACATGCCTTACCTAGGGTCACCCCTAAAGGGTCTTGGAAAGCCGAACCCCTAAATCAAGTTGCATGTGGAAGCTTTGAGCACTCAAAGCTTAGTTGAGCACTAGGAGTTCACATAAAAATGGATGGAATCATCTCCAAACTGTCTCTTCAATTATTAAGCCGGAAGTTATTTCCTCTCCATGCAAAAGTCGGTACCCGAGCCCGCTCAAGATGTAGGGCCGCTTCTGTACCAGGAGGCCTTGACTATCTCTATCGTCTCAAAGCTGAAGCTTCCCAATATCGTCTCCTGTCTTTGGTATTTCTTGTGTTTTGAGGGAGAATGCGCCGAAAACGCCGCGGCCTACAATATGATCCCTGCTGTTCGTGGCCAGCAGCACGAATACTGCAGAATTCCGGGGCTTTCGATAGACCCAGGTTCAAAAAGAAAAAGGGCAAAGGCGTTCATTGGCCTGTGGCTAAGATCAAAAAGTCTTGAGAGCCTCAACTATGTTCCCTTGAATAGAATTCGGGGTGGCCGAGCGCCTCCTACTGGAGGCAGGCTACATCGGCCATGGGCCAATCATTTATTCAAGAACTGTCAATGAGGATGATAACCATTATGGACGAACATAGGAAATAGCAGCAAGCCAACATTCAAGCTTTCAATGGCTTTGCTAGCAGCACAGGAACAGTCGACTCCCTGACTAGCGTCGATGGACTGGGCACATGGCTGCTGGTCGCACACCTTCGCTTACTTCTGTCGATTATTGGCCCAAAAGCCATCAGATAATGAGAGAAGGGAAGTGGGAAACTATGATGATCTAGGATGCTTATTCACCGGGAATGTCAGGAGAAGAGGTTTAGGATATTTGTTAGACTTACCAGGGTGTTTGAACACGCGCCTGAGAAACCAAGTAGCAGCCAGAGCCGAGCCAAATTTCTCAGAAAACAAGAGGGAAGCCGGTATATTTAGAGACTTGAAATCATGCGAGTAGAATGCAAAGCCACTTCGAAGACACGCGGAAGCTTTTACTTCCATCCCACACCTGACATTGATAGAAAAGCGGCGCCCCGGCCGCTCTTGGAGAACAGGAAGGCCAAGCGCAATATCCTCCTCTATGGTATCTTTTGCTATAGAGAATATGGCCAATGGTGGAATTGTCGACGGAGGAACCTTTGGACTTGTCGTAGTCGCGTCAATACTTTGTCCTGCCACCCTGTTGATGAGGTCGAATACCGCGCTAGACAACAGTGATGAGAAGTACCACTACTTCACATAAGAGAGGCTTGTGAGCGACCAGGCACATATGGATAAGATATCGAGAATACGTAGCTTCTTGCCTGCGTGAAAATGGGTTGAGGCTGAGCATTATGGCGATCGGGCTTGAGAGCACTAGGGACCCCTTTTATGGTTGTTGCTACCGATCACGATAGCGTCAACAATGCGGTGATTCCAACCATGGGAGCAATCGGCCGCATGCACCAATAAACACATGAGAAAAGACATTGAGATTAGGTGACTGGATCAATTCGTTCCATCGTTCGAATAGCTCTAGGGTGTCTCTAAAACTAAAGAAATCAACCCGCCCATCCCAATCCGTCTATATGCAGAACGCCTCTATAGATACCCTTCATTCCGTCTAAAAGCCCGGAGAGGGCCCAGGGTAGTCTTTGCTCTATCGCTTTCTCCTTTCTCTTGTCCACTACTGCTGGCGGTGGTGCTGCTCTCTTGCCCATTCACCAAGCGTCCCAAATACCATTGCAATCAAATCAAACCCATCAAAATCACTTTTTTCCCGGCAGATCGTCTAGACAAAAAGAGGGGGCATTTCATCATATTACCGTCGCAAAAGAAAGCATCTTACTCCTCGTCGTCCGTGTCGGGAGGGTGGGGCGTTCCCTTGGGGCTGTTGAGCCACTCAATGTGGCGCAGACGGCGACGGACCTCCTGCTCCTTGAGCTCCTTCTTGGTCTTCTTCTTCTTCTTGCGGGCCTTGAACTTGAGCGGTTCCTCGGCGTCCGAGTTGACGGCGCTGTTGACGGCGGACGAGGCGGCGGTGGAGGCGACCGTGCTGGGAACGCCGCTGGCGGGTGCGCTGCTGTCCTCGAAGGAGCCGAGGTTGATGGCGGCGTTGCCCTTGAGAGCGACGCGGCCATCGTTGACGTGCCACTGCTCGGAGCAGAGGGCGCCGACGAACTCTTCGTTGTGGGAAATGAGGATGACACCGCCCTTGAACTCGCGGATGGCGACGGCGAGACCGCCGAGGGAGTCGCGGTCCAAGAAGTTAGTCGGCTCGTCGAGGACGAGCAAGTGGGGGTTGTTCCACATGGCACCGGCAATAACGACCTTGACCTTCTGACCTCCCGAGAGGGAGCCGATCTCGTTGTGGTTGGCGATCTCGGGGTCGAGGCCGAGGTCCTCAAAGTGCTTGGAGATGACGGTGGGCTGGAGCTCACGGTAACCGAGACCCTCGCGGGAAGCCTCGTGGTCGTCAAACTCCTGGACGAGCTTGTCGAAGCCCCACTCGATAAGGGTCTCACGGGAGACCTGGGTGTTGTGCTTGGGGAGCCAGCCGCGCCATTTGCTGTTGCGTGTCAGTGATGAAAGGGGGTGATGATGGGTCGTGGAGATTACTTACACTTCGTATTGGAAAGTCTTCTTGTACTTCTGACGACCGACAAGAGCCTCGATCTGACGCTCAGACTTGCCGTCCTTGAGGTCGATCAGCTTCTCCATCTGGGCCTTGTCCTTGTCGGAGAGAATGCGGGTCTGCTTGAGGAAGACTTCACGGTCGTCACCGTTGGCGTAACGCCACTGCAGGTACTGGTTGGGCGTCTTCTCGAGATGCATCTCGACGTGCTCAAGAGCGTGCTGCTTGATGTAGCCGATACGCAGGTTAGGGTGCTTCTCGACCCTGCCAGTGGTGGGGATGACCTCGCCGGTCAGGATCTTGATGAGAGTAGACTTGCCCGCACCGTTAGGTCCGATGATGGCCACACGGGAAGACAGAGTGAGCTGGCAGGTAACCTCCTGCAGAGAAGGCTTGGGTGCCTTGGGGTACTGGTAGGAGACGTTGCTCATGCGGATGATGGCACGGGTGTTGGACTTGACACCAGTCAGGATACCCGGGGGCGGGAACTTGAACTGGACCATGGAAGCGGAGAGCGTGTAGTAGCTCTTGGCCTCGGGACGGAGCTTGACGAAGTTGGCCAGGTTACCCTTGTAGCAGGCGAGCTTCTTGTTGGGCTCGTAGTGGTAGATGTCGGTCGTGACGTTATCGAGGAAGCCAGAGTCGTGAGACACGATCAAACTGGTGATGTCGGGGTGAGTCTTGAGGTAGGTCTCGAGCCAGGCGATGTTGGCAACATCCAAGTGGTTAGTAGGTTCGTCCAGCAACAGGACATCGGCGCCCTTCAGCATAGCACGAGCCAAGGCCAACTTCATCTTCCATCCACCAGAGAGCGAGCCGACCTTGTGCGACTGACGGCCATCAGGACCGTCAGTGAAGCCGAACTCTGCAAGAACCTCGATGACCTTCTCGCGACCGCGAGCCTCGATCTCGGGGTCCTTCAGAACGAAGTCCAGAATGCTAATGTCGGCATCCTCACCCTGGTTGTGCTCAACGTAAATGGTACGGAGGACGTCCTGAGGGGGGAAACCTTCAAGCTTGCCGTTGGCAATACTGCGCATGAGCGTAGACTTGCCGGCACCGTTGCGGCCGCAAAGACCGTAACGGTGACCCTTGAGGAGTCTGAGATTGGCGTGAGAAAGCAGCAACATACCACCGTAGGCGAGAGAGAAGTGGGCGTTGACGATCTCGGTCTCGCCATCGTCCTCCTTCTCGGGGACACCGAACTTGCGCTCGTCCTCCTCGACGTAGTGCTTCTGAACAGCATCGGCGACGGCAGTGTTGGCATCAGCAGTCTTCATCAAAGACTGGAGGTAGGGTGCAATTCTGGCGGAAATGCGTCTGACGAAGCGGTGGTTGACGTTCTCGGCGACCTGGTCGCAGATGTAGGGACGGGCAATCTTGTAGACGTCGAGGTGGCCAGCAAGCCCGCCGTTCTTCTTAATCTCGGCGTCGAGAATCTTTGAGACGTCGTCACCGGAGACACGCTCGGTGACGTCCTTGTCGTCACCCATGGCCTTCTCAATGACATCCAGAGCTCTCTTAGCAAGCTCGCGAACCTCGGGAAGAGAAGCGCGGTCATAGACACCCTTAACACCAGGCTGGAGCTTGGGCAGGAAAGTACGAGCCTCGATGGGGTCGTGGACGAGCTTGGTCAGGTTCTCAACGACAACGACAGTCTGGCGCAGAACCTCCTGGGCGGTGGTGGGGGTGTTGAGAGATCGCTCGAGGAGAGGAGTCAAAAGGGCCAGAACGGGAGAGGTAACGACGGCAACGAAGGTGGTCATGGACAGAGCATGAATGGCCTTGCGCAGGGACTCGGTGGAAGGGTGGTGCATGCTCTCGATCAAGAGGGGGATGCGAGGTGCAACGTCGTCGTTTTGAAGTAGACTGGTGAGCGCAGTCATGGTCTGGACGGCTTGCTTCTCGACTTCGGCCTTGAGGTCGTGCATTCCCGCCTCGACGAGAGGGATGAGGCCGGCGAGCTTGGTTCCCATGGTCTCGCGCATGACATCTTCCACCTCAGCCTGCTCCTGGGTAGAGCCGACGGTCTGGTTGGCCTTCTCGGCCATCTTCTGAAGCATCTTGAAGGCCTGGGCAGTTCCCTGCCACTTTCCGCCCTTCTTGTTGAGGTAGGTGGTGAGCGCGGGCAACAGGCCGACGACGAGAGCCTCTGGGCTCAGGTTGTTGAAAAGAGCATCCAGGGCGTACTGGGCAGACTCGCGGACGACGGAGCCCTTGTCGGACAAGGCGTCGAGGGAGACACCGACCAAGCCGCCATCTTGCAGCAGGAAGACGACCTCGCTCAAGGGGGACTTGGGAGGCAGACGCTCGAAGAGAGCGCCGAGGAGGTTCTGGGCAGACTCGCGGATCTGGCCGGACTTCTTGTTGGCGGCAGCCTTCTTGACCTCGGCGATAATGCCATATTGTTGCAGACCTAGGTATCCGACGGTGTTGTTCAGGACTTCGCAGAGGCCATAGGCGGCATCGACAGAGGCAGCGGAGGTGGCGGAGTTGAAGATGGAGTGCACAAAGGCGTTGATCTCGTCCTGCGTGGGCGGAGGGGCAGCGCCCGTGGCCACGACGGTCATGGTCGCTTCGTTTTTCTTATTGCGATAAGGGCGGGGTTGCAGGATCGGAGGGGTCGAGGGGGACGAGAGAGGAGAGGGGGGATGTCGACACGGCGAAGAGAGCGAAAAGAAGGCCTCGCTTCTGCTGCTGGCAACGAAGTGAGGGAGTAAGATTTCTCGAAAGGCTCTCTCGTCTGTCCTCTCTCTCCTTGGGGACTCGGGAGTTGTGTGGTGCAGTCAGCAAGAATCGCTACCTCTTGTCGCAACACAACAATTTTTTTTTAGATTGGGCGTCCGGGCGCGGTTTTTTTCTTCCCTCCCTCTTTGTCCCTTATCCACCAAGCAGAATCGCATCCTTGGGCCATGTGAAAAATTTACTTATCCAGGCCCCTATCGGGGATGTTTGATTGGCTCGTCTATCTTAATGGACCCGTCCTCCGTCATGATACGTACCCCTGTGCTCCGTACCTCGTCTTTTTCGCTCCGCCGCCAGTGCCTCTTGATGCCCGAATTACCAATCCACGGTTGTCGGTTTTGTTTTATTGATAACCCGGCAATTGCTAGACCCGTATGACGAGACCAGAGGGGAGTTTTCTTCATCAGTGTCCTGCTTATGGGTAGGGCTTAGTCTTGTCAACTCCACTTCGCCTTCCAAACTCCGTCCGAGTTCCATCACCGGAGGAGGCAACTGAAACATCAAAGTCTTTGTGTTGCGAACGTCTGCTTTACTAGTCAACTGGCAACTCAGCCCGTATTATAAGGTAATTTGAAGCAGATTCTTGACTGGACAAGTTACTCGAATTAAAATATGACCCTCGTGGCGATTAACTTCTGCAAATATACTGGCTTCTGCTGTGCAACACTTGTTTCGACCGTGGTGAGGTGAGAAGGACCCTTTGAGGCCCTCTCATCACAGGGGGGGCCTTCTCATCATCACTCAGCTTTTCCGGGCAGGATATATGCCGAGAAAGAGGGTTTTTCAAATTTCCGCAGAAACGTAAACCTCAAAACCCCAGTATTTTGAATGGCTCAAGCTCCGAAAGTCTGTGAACAATAAGTTGTGGTGCATGACGAAGTTCGACAAAGTTCAACGTGAACATCATTCGGACGGTGCGTGTTCTGCTTCGACGCCTGGCCAAAGTGAGGCTGAGAAACTTGCAAAGAGCCTGCGAAAAGGCCTACAGACGGCCCAAGAGCTAATTTTTCGCATCGTACTTGGGATCCCGAATGTCTTCTTCATGGATTCTTCGGGACTCGCGATTGGCTTGAGGTGGCTGGTGGGGGGAATGTTTTTGTCAATCAGAACTGCGAGGCCTTCCTCGGTCATTGTTCACGCTTCCCACCATTTGGGTCTAGTTGAGACACAATGTCTTTGGTGTCGGTCAAGTAGGGCCGCATTCCTTTCTTTTTTACTTTTGGTCTCACCGTAGCAATTTCGGTCTTCGATATCTGGTGATTGTTCGTCTAGCACGGCTTCAAGTTGACGAGAGTTGTACAGATGATCAATACGAAGCGTCGGCAATGTGTTCTTCGTTGGCAGTGGGGATTCGGTTCGGTATCGGATCGTGAGACACATGACATGAGCAACGGAAAATCTTCGGGTGGCAATGCAATGGACGAAGCCATTCACCACTGCAAAAGTAGAGATGGATCCGTGGAGGAGGGCGGTGAAAGAGGATTCTGAGGCCTTGAATGGGTGAATTTCGCATTCTCTTCTGCCCACTCCCAGGCACGCTAGGCCCGTGCTGCCGAGGTCCCGCGCCAATCAGCGGGGACGGGAGCGCCCCTGGGCCACTAACTGGGCGCTGATGTTCGCTGTGGTTCCTGGGCGTCCTTCTTCCTTCCGGGCAGCTTCCAGAGTGGCAGAAGGACGTCACTCGCGACAGGGGTTGGCGGCCCAAGCGGGGGATGCCCAGCTGGTGTTTCCCCCCCACTGTTTCAACCCAGAATCGACAAAGTCCCAGGTCCAGGTCCAGCTGGGTCGAGGCGAGGTCCCCTGGAGGCGTGCACTGCGCACCGCAGAAAGGCTAATAAGACAAGAGCAGCAGCACCACGCTGCGGCAGCTGCAAACCGAAACTCAAGAGAACAGACACCGGCGCCCGTCCCCGTTCCTGGCTTCTTTTTGTCATTCTCTCACTGCAGCCACACTTCACTCGTGTCGGAAAAGCGACAGCTGCTTGTTTCTGATCTGCTTCTCTCATACAACCGAACAGACTCCTCCATTGCCCTCGTGTGTCTTCCGGGTTGTCACTGTTGTCTCGAGCACAGCACCCTGTCAATTCGCCCCATTCCGTCTCCCAGTCCAGAGGCGGCGCATTGAGCAATGGTCCGTCAGTCGTAAAGAACTGCCAGATCACGACGAACTTGTCCCCAGACACTACTGGAAGTGTCCAATTTCCACGAACGAACGACCGTCCTTTGAATTCGGCTTAACCAGACTTCGTGTCGAAGTCCCCGCCATCGACGATGGATCCTAGCAAGGAGGGGCTCCTCAACGAGGAGAAGGGCCGCCGCTCCTACGAATCCGACGATGCCTCCGACATCGACGCGACCGACTATCTCGCTCACGATACCCAGAAGCAGTCCGCATTTCCCAAGCCCGCCTTCTTGTCCGGCAAACGCACCGGCGTACTCAATGCCATCAAGAATTGCTTCCGTGGCCGGTCGAAACTATGTTGGCTGTTCGCAGGTGTCGTGCTACTCATGTGGGTGGTCATTAGCGCTGGAGGAGCCGTCATGTACAAGAAATTCAAGGGTCCTCCCCCTACCGGCCTGTCACCGCCGTGGTACCCGGCACCAAAGGGTGGAATATCAAAGAATTGGGCCGAGAGTTACAAGAAGGCGAGCGAAATGGTCGCCAAGATGACACTGCCTGAGAAGGTCAATGTCACCACCGGAACCGGTTGGATGATGGGCCTTGCCGTCGGCACAACTGGCCCGGCTGTCCACGTTGGCTTCCCTCAACTTCAGCTGCAAGATGGGCCCCTCGGTCTCCGCTTTGCTGATAATGCGACTGCTTTCCCCGCGGGCATCACCGTTGGTGCTACGTGGAACAAAGATTTGATGTACGAGCGCGGCAAGGCGCATGGCGAGGAAGCCCGGGGCAAGGGAATCAACGTTCTACTGGGCCCATGTGTCGGCCCCCTCGGTCGCCTGCCGGCCGGTGGTCGTAACTGGGAAGGTTTTGGCTCCGATCCCTACCTTCAAGGTATTGCTGCAGCCCAAACCATCAAGGGTATCCAAGAGGAGGGTGTCATTGCCACGATCAAGCACTTCGTGGCCAACGAGCAAGAGCACTTCCGCCAGAGCTGGGAATGGGGCCTGCCCAACGCCATCTCGAGCAACATCGACGACCGAACGCTTCACGAGCTGTACGTTTGGCCGTTCTTGGACGCTGTCAAGGCCGGTGTTGCCAGTGTCATGTGCTCGTACAACCAAGTCAACAACTCGTATGCTTGCGGTAACTCCAAGCTACTGAACGGTATTCTGAAGGACGAGATGGGTTTCCAAGGTTTCGTGCAAAGCGACTGGTTGGCTCAGGTAAGGACCATGCCGATGGGATTGGAAGTTTTAAGAGCAATCGCTGACACTCATGTAGCGCTCTGGTGTGGGAAGCGCCCTTGCAGGCCTGGATATGTCCATGCCGGGTGACGGACTGTTTTGGGCAGATGGAAAGTCTCTGTGGGGCTCCGAACTGACCAAGGCAGTTTTGAACGGCTCGGTTCCTATCGACAGACTCGATGATATGGTGGTGCGAATCGTTGCCTCGTGGTACCAGATGGGCCAGGATGATAAGAAGAAGTTTCCCAACGAGCTTCCCAACTTCTCCTCGTGGACCGACGACAAGATGGGAGTGCTCGCTCCTGGAAGCAAGACGCCACAGAAGGAGGTGGAAGTGAACAAGTACGTGAATGTCCAGGGCAACCATTCCGATATTGCCCGTCGGGTCGCCGCTGAAGGCATTGTCTTGCTCAAGAACAAGGACGTGCTGCCGATCAGCAGAGACGGATTCATCGACGCTAAGCGCAGACGCAACGACAAACGTCACGAAGGAAAGCTGAAGATTGGCATCTTTGGCGAGGATGCAGGCCCTGGCAAGGGCCCCAACTACTGCAAAGACCGCGCTTGCAACCAGGGTACTCTGGGCTCGGGATGGGGCAGCGGCGCTGTCGAGTTCCCTTACCTCGTGCCGCCTGTGGAGGCCCTCAAGAAGGGCTTCAAGGGCGAGAAGGTCGAGCTCTCCGAGTACCTCACCAACTCGCTCCCTTTCGAGAAGGACCCTTCAATCTTGAACGACAAGGATGTTTGCATCGTTTTCGCCAACGCCGATGCGGGCGAAGGTTTCGTCTCTTGGTCTGGGGTCAGCGGTGACCGCAACGACCTCAAGTTGCAGAAGGGAGGCGACGATCTCATCCTGCAGGTCGCAGACAACTGCGGTAAGAGCGATGGTAACAGCGTCGGCGGCGACACTGTCGTGGTCATTCACTCCGTCGGTCCCGTCGAGATGGAACGGTGGATTGAGCACCCTGGAGTCAAGGCTGTGCTTTATGCAAACCTTCCTGGGCAGGAGAGCGGCAACGCTCTCGCGGATGTCATCTTTGGCGACGTTAACCCCAGCGGCAAGCTGCCGTACACTATCGCCAAGTCGCTCAAGGACTACGGAGCTGCTGGGCAAATTTTGTACCTGCCCAACGGCGTCGTGCCCCAGCAAGATTTCTCCGAGGGCCTGTACATCGACTATCGCCACTTCGACAAGTTCGAGATCGAGCCACGCTTCGAGTTTGGATTCGGCCTATCGTACACGAGCTTTGCCTTCTCTAATGTTGTCGTCGAGGAGGTGAAGCCCAAGTCCAAGCTGCCCGCTCCCCGTCCAGCCCCCGCCGCCGAGCCGCCCAAGTTCAGTGAGAAGCTGCCCGACCCCAAGGAGGCCCTGTTCCCTAGCGGATTTAACAAGCTCGACAAGTATGTGTATCCGTATTTGGACTCGACAGACGACATTGTCAAGGAGCCGTACCCCTAC